TCGCCCACTTTGAAGAAAGTCATGGCGAGTTCCGCAAAAAAAAAATTTGGCACAAAGTTGGCACCGCCGCTCCATGCCTATCGAAAATGCATAAAAAGGTTTCTTTTAGCAATATAGATACTTTTGCCAATGTTCACCAAATATAAAGATATTCAGTCAAAAAGTCGTGCAATTTTTTTTCTTATTTTGATACAATGATTGATTTTGTTTCCCAAGTAAAACTGCTTTCATTTTGTACTTAGAACATTTGAATCAAGTTGTTACCGTTTATGCGCGTTAATCGGAGATTTTAAATCCCTTTAGAATGTTGGGAAAGTAAAAAAGGCGATAAAAGTAATGTCTAGTGCAAGTCAAACATCTCCCAAAAACTAATATCTGTAAACGTAAAAGTAGTCGTTTCATTTTTATTTTTGTTTTTGTTTAAGTTCATTCTCGAGCTTGAATAATCTCTTTTCTATTTTAGGAGATGTCATCTCGTCATCGCGTTGATCTGAACGAGGATCGCCGTCGCCGTGACCGCTCAAGGGATCGTGATGGTCGAAGAGATAGAAGTGATCGAGATAGGCGACGATCAAGAAGTCGTTCACCTCGTGCTCATACAAGGAATTCCTACGACACCAAGCCTGAGATGGAGCGAAACAACCCAGTCAAGCTCGAGATGGAGACGAAGGAAGATCGAAATCCGTTGAATGGAAACGCATTTTCGCGCCGCTATTGGGAAATCTACGACAAACGAAGCAAACTGCCTGTCTGGGAGTACAAGGAGACGTTCCTTCAAATGCTTCATCGAAATCAGATTTTGACGCTCGTCGGGGAGACTGGATCTGGAAAAACTACGCAAATTCCCCAATGGTGCTTGGAGTATGCAAGGAAATATGCGATTCCCGGCAAGAAATCACTCGTTGCATGTACTCAACCAAGAAGAGTGGCCGCCATGTCTGTTGCAACACGTGTTGCGGTTGAATCGGACGTGCAAATCGGACACGAGATTGGATATTCGATTCGTTTTGAGGATTGCATTTCGGAGAGAACCGTCCTGAAATACTGCACCGATGGTATGCTTTTGAGGGAAGCAATGAATTGCCCACTTCTGGACAATTATTCGGTGATCATTCTTGATGAGGCTCATGATCGAACACTGGCCACTGATATTCTGATGGGATTGATCAAGGAGGTGGTCAAACAGCGAAAGGATATCAAAGTGGTGGTTATGTCGGCTACGCTTGATGCTGGGAAGTTTCAGTCTTACTTCGACGATTGCCCTTTGATGTCCGTGCCTGGAAGGACGTTTCCCGTAGAGATTTTCTATACGCCCGCGCCGGAAAAGGACTACTTGGAAGCGGCAATTCGAACAGCAGTTCAAATTCATGTTTGCGAGGAGACTGAAGGAGACATTCTGCTCTTTTTAACAGGACAAGAGGAAATTGAAGAGGCGTGCAAGCGAATCAAAGCAGAAGTGGATAAAATGGGATCTGAGATCGGAGAGCTGCGATGCATTCCATTGTATTCAAGTCTTCCACCGGCCATACAGCAAAAGATCTTTTGAACCTGCTCCACCAAAACGTCCAAATGGAGCCATCGGAAGGAAATGTGTCATTTCGACAAACATTGCTGAAACCTCACTGACAATCGATGGAGTTGTGTTTGTAATTGATCCGGGCTTTTCAAAGCAAAAAGTCTACAACCCGAGGATCAGAGTCGAGTCTCTCTTGGTGTGCCCAATCTCAAAGGCTTCTGCAATGCAACGTGCTGGTCGTGCTGGTCGTACAAAACCGGGGAAATGTTTCCGCCTTTACACGGAGAAAGCCTACAAAGAGGATATGCAAGAGCAGACTTACCCCGAAATTCTCCGATCAAACTTGGGAAGTGTTGTGTTGCAATTGAAAAAGCTGGGAATCGATGATCTCGTCCACTTTGACTTCATGGATCCGCCAGCTCCTGAAACGCTGATGAGAGCTTTGGAGCTACTGAATTATTTGGAGGCAATCAACGACGATGGAGAGTTGACCGAAGTGGGATCATTGATGGCCGAATTTCCGTTAGATCCTCAACTTGCCAAAATGTTGATCGCAAGCACCGAGCTGCAATGTAGCAATGAAATCCTGTCTGTTGTGGCTATGCTTTCCGTGCCCCAATGCTTCATCCGTCCACATGAGGCCAGAAAAGAAGCCGATGAGGCAAAAGCTCGCTTTGCTCACGTTGACGGTGACCATTTGACTCTTCTCAACGTTTTTCATTCTTTTGCGAACAATCAAGGTGACGCTGGATGGTGCTACGAGAACTTCATCAACTACAGAACGATGAAAAATGCGGAAAATGTCCGCCATCAGCTCTCACGCATCATGGACAAGTTCAACTTGCGTCGAGTTTCAACAGATTTCAAGAGCAAAAACTTCTATGTGAACATCAGAAAGGCGTTGGTAGCCGGATTCTTTATGCAAGTTGCTCACCTTGAGCGGAGTGGACACTACATTACCGTGAAGGACAATCAAGTCGTGAGCCTTCATCCATCGACCGTTTTGGATCACAAACCCGAATGGGTGCTCTACAACGAGTTTGTGTTGACAACAAAGCATTTCATTCGGACGGTCACCGATGTCAAGCCAGATTGGTTGGTAGATATTGCTAAACACTACTACGATCCGGCCAACTTCCCCGATGGTGAAGCAAAAAGAAAATTGTCCTACTTGAAAAACCAACGTGATTCTCAAAAGTATTGATTGTTTGATTGTTACATTTTTTTGAAATCGTTGAGCATTGTTAAGGATTTTTTCCGAAATTGTCGTTCCAATTGTTTGATCTTGTTAGTTTGGTATTGCTATTGTTGTCGTTATTGATTGAGTGTTAAAGAATAAATCTTGTTTTCAAAAACACAAAACTAATATTAGCGAAACTGTGCTAAAGAATTTGCTATAGAGGTACTAAGGCTACTCGGCTCCTGTATGGAGATTATTATAGTTGAATACTCTGGTGCTAGTAGGTATGTGTGAAACTTTGCTAAACGTCCAAATCGGTTGAACGCAATCAAGAAGCTGTTCGTCTTGTTCATTTCTTGTATACGACTCACAATTGGCATTTCGGTCATCGTCGGCATATTGATCGCTTCGGGAACAGTATTACTTGCACTTTGCTTTTCTTGCCCGTAAAAAAGTTCCAGAGGAGAAAGGTCATATTTAGCCCACTTTGCTCTTGTCTTACCTTGCCTGAAAAATCTCGAACAGGCAAAGCCCAATAGGGGTTACCCAAACGGATTCTAAACTATTTGAAAGGGCTGTTCAAAACGGTTTGGAATGCATCTGGACATTCATGCACATGGGCACTGGTGAATAATTATAAATTAGGGGAATTAGAGTTGACAGATAACAGATATGCTGTGTGATCAATGGTTTGATGAGAGATCGCAGATATGGACTTTGATATAATTTTCTCCTTCTGTTTGTCTGTCAAAGTGACGAGTGCACATCTGTCGCAATTCTTCTTCAATTTACCCCAAAATTAATTGTTCAACAGATTTTTCTCAATCTCACATCATTCCATTATTTATTCAACTATCTCTTTTCCAAAAAACACTTCTTCTATTCTCAATGTTTCTCAGCTTCTTTGTACCAGCAATTTTCTTTGATTAAAAGTTTTTAAAAACTTCACTTTTAAAGTTTCTGAATTCACTTGACCTTAGAATTTACTCTCTAGGTTAGATCTAGCTTTGAACTTGTCAGCTTTCCGAAATGTCTAAAGCTTTAAGAGTTACGGTATTCCCATACCGTACTCTCTGATTTGTTTGTTTTTACTAGAGTGTGTTCCTCACGAGTAGTGCGCTTTTTAAAACGCACACTTAGGGAAATTATCGTACTTTTAGCAAAAATTATTGCAAAAAATCACGAGCGACGACTTATATACGACTTTTTTAAAAAGATATTCAGCCGTTTAACTAATTTGGTGGCAAATCCCCTTCACGAGTAAAGATATTCAATTTACTCGACGTGAAAAAAGGGTTAGTTACTCGGGGAGTGGGACAAATGCGACCTTTTTTTTGCGCACCTGGACATTTGCGCACCTTTTTTTTGCTGGAAAAGGCCTTAGGAAAGGCAGTAGAGCTTCGAAAATATTTCGAAAATTTTTCCATATAAGGGAATCGTATGCGTAGATTCCGAATTTCGACAAATCAGACCTCGCTGACACGTCAAATTTGGATTAAAAGGCAAAAACTACGCAACTTAACGCTTTTCCGCAGTTTTTGCCTTTTAGCCCAAATTTGACGTGTCAGCGAGGTCCGATTTGTCGAAATTCGGAATCTACGCATACGATTCCCTTATATGGACAAATTTTCGAAATATTTTCGAAGCTCTACGGCCTTTCCTAAGGCCTTTTCCAGCAAAAAAAAGGTGCGCAAATGTCCAGGTGCGCAAAAAAAAGGTCGCATTTGTCCCACCCCCGTTACTCGAGCAAAAACGTCGATTAATCGAGTAAAAATTATTCATGCAAATTTTACTCACTCGCGAGGAACACACTCAAGTTTTTACCACTTTCTAACCAATTACCACTCTTTCCTTAACATTTAAAAAAATTGCCAGACCTACTCTTAAACGAGCACACTTCAATCTTCAATTCAGGAAAATTTGTCGATTCGGAAAAAGAAAAGAAAAAAATACTCATGAAATTTTGTTAGATTCTAGTTGAAACATTATTAACATTTCAGAAAGATGATGGAATTCATCTACTGTGAGGGAGAAACGGAACAGTAATTCGTAGCTTTGTTATTCAAAAACAGTACCAGATTAAGATGTACAGTACTAATCTAATTTTGTTAGGTTGAAAGTTGCAAAACCAAGTTAAGCAAGAAAAGTTCTGGTTTACGGTAACGATTCGGACGAATATGAGGAAAACAACTACAACTGTCTCCTAGATTTTTGTGAGTTTTCTCTTGGTTACACATCTTTAGTTGCTTTAAGGCACAAAAAATTTCATTGACGAGAAACATGATGGAAATGTCTTCAAGTTCATTTCCTAGCCATCAAAACATAGGCTCCATATTTTGTGTATGAGAGAATCTCGGAGATATACTTGACGATCTCGATCCAGAAACCATTAAAGCTAAAGAGTTTTGTTGATTTTTACAAGAGTTTTTTTTTCATTTACCGAAATAAAACATTGAAACAAATCGAGTTTAAAATGACGGATACACTAAAATAAATAAAGCAAAAGGCAAGTCGAGCCTCGGGAGAAATTTGTGAGATCTGGAAATGAATTATTTGAGGGATTTGAGGATTTGAAGTTTACATACCTTGGGCCGCATACTTTTTTTTCTCAATTGTGTAAATATCTTTGCTGGCTGTTCGATTCGAATCATTTCCTTTGGCTTTTCGATATTTTGATCAATCACATTCGTGAATGAACCAGGATTTTGAGATATTGATGTGATGGCGAGTGGCTGAAAGGGGTTGGATTTTACCCGTCAAGCACTTGTCAGAGTTTGTTCTTTTTGAGCTAAGCGCTTTGAAAAACTACCGTAATCCTGTCTTTTTTATGAAAAACTAGACAAAAGCATCTGTTTTTCCTTTTTACCGTCAGCAATTTAAAATTTTTCGTCTTTTCTCAGCACCAACCCTTTGATTTTGTCTATTTAAATTATCATTCGATGCAGAATAAAATTGCGCGTCGAATGATACCAAAAATAACTAAAAATATAATATTCATGCAAAGTTATAAGGCAAAAGGTTAACTCCCGTCTATAATGGGTGGGGTTTAGATTTTTAGCCAACAACTTTGCGTGGATATTATATTTGCAGTTAGTTTTTGTCTCATTCTACGCACAATTTTATTTTCCATCGGATGATAGTCAATATAGTCAAAATCGAAGGGTTAGTGTTGTGAAAAGACGAAAAATCTTAAATTGCCAACGGCAAAAAAGAAAAAGACAGATGTTTTTCGTTAAAAGTCTAGTTTAAGGTAATCACTTGAATCGATTTCTTGTGTTGATTCAGTGGTCGACGCCACTTGCGAATTTTCACCGCCAGGTAGACGTCCGAGAGAATGAGCGAACCGTACGCAAAATACTGAAATAACATTTAATAGAAAGATTAATAGAAAGCTTTTCATTTAAACAACCTGCAATCCCAAATTGAGATTCGAGTACAATTGATATGATGGCTTTTCCCAGTCAAAATTCCAATAAAATCCGTCAAGATAGAATTTGAAGCCACAACATGATGTGAACAATGGAGCGGTGAGACCTGAAAAATCTCACGGTTGACGGGAAAATCAGGAGTTCCGGGTCTTTCATCTTTACTTCCGTTTTTGAGCTCAAAAAGTTTTTGACGACTGGTCATAACAGGAAGTCAAGGTTCAAAGGTAACTAATCCACACTAGCATTGTGATTTCATTGTGCACCTAGTGCGTTCCCTAAAACCTGTCAATGTTTGAAAGCTATCGTAATCTTGTCTCTAAATTTCAATCTACTTTTATGAACCCATTTCAGTTAAGATAATAGGAAAATAGATAATAAATAGATAGATAATCGGAAAATTACTGTGGCTTTCAAAAGCCGACTTTTCTAAGCTCTTCTCAGCTTGATTTTATCCTTCAAACTAAAGCCAAAGTATTACCTAAAGTTGGTAGAAGTGCAAAGGTCATCAATTTCACGACGGTCGCCTTTGTTAGTGTGTGTGCTTTTGCGGGGTAAGCGACGCTCGCTAAATGGAGTCCGGCGAGTATCGGGATCAACGAGAGTTGGCCGAACCATCGAAATGATTGCACGAAGACATTTATGTTGATGAAGATATCCCCTTTGAAAATGATGTGATTGGGAAATCTGTTTCATAGAAATTTTCCAAATTCGTCTTGAGAAAGAGTGTATTTTTGGTTTTGAATGCGGAATTTTTCATTAGCCTAACGAAAGCTAACCAAAAGTGAAGGTTTGGTTCAATTTTGTACGCTCAAAAATTCTGTATTTAAAAACAGGTAAAGAAGTTTGAATTTTGAAGATTTTATAATTTATATAATTTATTGGTAAAATTTTAGATATTATACTAAATGTAGGCAGATTGTAACGAAAGAAATTGGGAAGATTGAAGCCAAAAGTTGTCTTCAAGGCTTCCTCAAGGCTTCCTCAAGGCTTCCTCAAGGCTTACTGCAAAGCTTGGAACCGGGAATTTGCCTTACCGTAAATCTCCTCTTCAATAATTGTCACCGGAACATTGTGAATCTGTGTTGTCACCATTTCCGCAATATCCAGAAATATCATTGTCTCGATTATTAAATACATAGGCGATAATTTTGTGGTAATTGTCAGCGAAATTAGCGACAAAATGTTGATGATGGCCAGCACGATATAGAGCACTGTTGTTAGCACCAAATCAACGTTAAGCATCTTTCAAAATTTTAAAATAATAAAAAACAAGTGCCCCTCTAGGCTACAAGAACTCAAAGTGATTCGAGAGATTTTTTGTAAACGCAATGTTTCTGTGAAATTCGCAGAGAACACTTCTAACTGTCGTGAGAAAAAGTGCGGAGGTTATGTGTTTGTTGAAGGTTGAAAGAAAAACCCGGCAAGTTCTCGGGAAAGTTTAGGTGAAATTTTGTAGTGCTTGTGCTTTAGATTTTATTTAATCACGAGACTTTGAGCAAGATTTTGCATGCCAAAAAAGCAATGATACATTTAACAGTTCAACTCCAAAACGAAACGAGAATGATAAAGTTCGTAAGATTGGCCGCTTGAAATATGATGAAGATGAGAAAATGCAAAGAACAGAACCAATTTCGAATCAGGTTTTTCCAAGATCTGAAATTTGAGGGGAATTTTTTTGAAGGTGCTGTAAAGTCTCATTTCCTCTGAAGTATGTCCCAGCTATCGTAGTCTGGCTTGGATCTCTATGGCTTGTGTTTTCCTTTAAATTAGCTAATTTTACAGTAATTATTGGCTAATATGGCTTGGAACCGTATCCGAACCATATTGGAACCATATTGGAACCATATTGGAACCATGTTGGAAGCATATTGAACCATATTGGAACCATATTGGAACCATGGTGGAAGCATATTGAACCATATTGGAACCATATTGGAACCATGTTGGAAGCATATTGGAACCGTATTGGAACCATATTGGAACCATATTGGAACCATGTTGGAAGCATATTGAACCATATTGGAACCGTATCCGAACCATATTGAACCATTTAGGAACCGTCTCCGAACCATATTGGAACCATATTGGAACCGTATTGGAACCATATTGGAACCATATTGGAACCATGTTGGAAGCATATTGAACCATATTGGAACCGTATCCGAACCATATTGGAACCATATTGAACCATATTGGAACTGTATCCGAACCATATTGGAACCATATTGGAACCGCATCCGAATCATATTGGATCTCTATGGCTTGTGTTTTCCTTTAAATTAGCTAATTTTACAGTAATTATTGGCTAATATGGCTGTGTAATATGAATAAAAACTAGAAATTACTTAGTTGACTGTAACATCTAACAATTGGGTTAAGATTTACGGTGGCTAAGCCAGAGATTAAAGCGCTGAGTCGCACAAAAGTACAAAACAAAATTTTAGCACAAAACTTTCTTTCAAATGACTAAAACTGCTGTAAACCACGTTAAGCCTGGTCTCCTTTTTAAAAATCTCATGTTTTTTTGCAAACCTCAGATTAAATTCTCTGTCTTTGATCTTTTCTTTCTCAAGCGGACTTGTTTCACATGGGAGAGTGACAAGAAGGACACAAGCTATTGAAATCACGAAAACGTCCACAATAACAAAGCTACCTGAAGATTGATTGAGAAAATTAACTCTGTTTTTAATTATCACTACTCACCCAACAACGGGAAACTGGTGTTCTTCGGGATTTGCTGTGAAACCATGTCAACGAAGAGAGTCATTGACATCATTGAAGTCAAACCGATACTCAACTGAAAATCTTTTCCATTTTAATCAATTTTTCTGTTCAACAACATACTCTTTAAATTTTACCTTAATCAATTGTTCATCTTTAAGATTCGGCGTCCAAAACATGCCACAGATCGATAGGAGTGTAAGCAAAAAACACGGGATCGCGATCACAAAAATATAGAAATTTGGCTCACGGCAAAGGATGAATGTGAATTGGAGCTGAAAAAAAAAGGAAATTGCTTGAAAGAGCTGCTACTAATATTTAAAACAAATATTAGTATTCTTTACAGATTTAAAGGCTATACAATCACTCACATAGTCGTAGTTGAAATACGCGTCACCTTGTTCAACGAGTGTGTAGTTAATGCTCACGTTTTGTATCGTCCATTCACCGTTGGACTAGAATTTTTCAAATTTAAGTTTTCTCTCACTTTTCAACTTCAATAATATCCCACTGATATTTTGTGAAGAGTTCGCCTGTTTGTGTGACATCATGGATATCATAAGTAGCGTCGAAGAAATCGAGAGTACACTTTTGAACGTCGAAGGGAAAATTCGCAACCTAGAAAAGCAGTCATTGTTTGTAATTTTTAAATCTCTAAGAATTCTTGCTCAAATCATTATCGGATCCGCTTATATCAGTGCTTTATAGCTTTTTACAGATTCTTCATTACTTACATCAAAAACGCAGCGACTTTCCGTTAAAAACATGATGCTCATGTCCACCGTTCCATTTGCCGCCACTTTAGCAGAATTGAAATTCGTGGGAAAGATGAGTTGCAGGGTTTTTCTTAACAATTAACTGTTCGGAGCTTTACACGTTGGGTGTGAGCAGTGGCGTGACCTCATTTTTGCCAGTGGCATTTTAATTTTCTTGGGTTTTCGACAACGCTGATTAAATTGCAAATAGTTTCAAGGCTTGATTATAACTAAAAAAAACATGTATTAGAAAGCCAAAACAATTAAAGTTGGGGTACTTTTTTTGGTTTATCCCCCCGCCCTCCACCCACCATCAGCTTTCTTTTTTATCTTAACATCACTTAATTGTTAAGATAGAAAAGTGCTAGAAAAAAAAAACTAGCAAGTGGGACGAAAGGCGGGTGGTATGAAAGATTTTCCCACCCATTTAACAAAAAAACACGGTGTGGCGCAAGTCACTTCCCAATCAAGCGAAAGTTGGTCCGGAGCGTCGCCTACACCGCAGCCAATTGGGATAAAAAATCAAAGTTAGAACGAAGCCATGAAACTATTTGCAATTTAATCAGCGTTGTCGAAAACCCAAGAAAATTAAAATGTCACTGGCAAAATTGACTGTCCACACCCAACGTGTATAGCCCCAAATAATCAATTTTTTTTCCTGTTCAACTCACGTATTTGTGATCCCGTTGTTCGGCCACCAAAGTGACATAATATTGACGTAGATGGATTTAACATCGCCAAAATCGCTTGGATCCCATGCAAGTCTCGGATCAGCGTAAGTCTAGAAGTAATTAGTTGAGTCTAATTAATAATAACACCTTACAATTAGATAAACTATGCACAAATATCTTTATTTTAGGAGATTTTTAATTCGAATTGAACCTAATCTGCATTCTACTTTCTACAAAAATTCTACTTCAAATATTCTACATATGGGGTAAGCTAATTACCGCATTTTTTTGCGCAACAGGGTCATTTGCGCAACTGAGCACATTTACGCAATTTGCCATAACTTTCTTCTAAGTCGGTCAATCTTTATGATGTTGGTTTCATTCTGTTGCACTTATTGAGATCTACAAAATGACACCAAAATCATAAAGATTGGTCGACTTAGTAGAAAGTTAAGGCGAGTTGCGCAAAAAAAATTGCGGTAATTAGCCTACTCCCTGCATTTTATTCTACTTATTCTACAAATACGACATTGTTTCCACTGAGTTAAGATATTCAATTGGAAAATTGTCGATCCTGTACGTTTTCGCCATTTTTCTCATTTTTTCATTGTTTAATGGGCAATATTTCCTGCGAAATGCTGTCGTCCATGTTTTTTGCTGCTTTTTTGATTCCTTTTGCCCGCAACAAACCCCTAAACCACAGCCTTTCACCGTATTTACGAGCATCAAACTATAATTTTTTGAGTGTCTAAACTTGGCAAAGCTTTATCTCAGATACTTTTAAGATTTTGACCTATTTCTGACGGCTTCACTTGATTTTCTTATACAATTTCTTTTATTTAGATGGATGGACGCGATGCGGTAACGTTTGGGAACACTTCTCGGTCAACGTCAAGCTCATCGGTAAAACTTTTGTTTTTTGTGCATAAATTTTTTTATAGGGAACCTCTGGAATAGCTGCTGGGAAGCGAGATGCTTTTAACCTTTTGGGATTCTTCAATAAGGTTAGTTTGGAGTTTTTAGTGGTTGATCTCTTAAAAAACCCATAGATAAAACACCCTGAGTGGTATAATTTTTAAAAGATTGAAAGAAACTGATATATTTAAAAGGTTGAAAGGAAACTGATATATTTTACTCTTATATTTTGGCGCAATTTTCCTGCTAAATCTTTGCTACATTTGGCTAAAATGATTGTGAATGTTTACTACTTGAGAAGCTAAATGCAGTCAATACAGTTAAATTGTGTTCTTCAAAACGGCTTGTAATTTATTTTCATTTAGATATCTCCATTGCGTCAATTTGTGCGAGTCTCACAGATGAGGAGCCAAGAAACGCTACATCTGTTCCCTTCGACGACATCTCCAATCACCTATGCGCACTACTCGACTCAGCCCGGGCCTGTCAATTCAGCGACTTTGAATGCAGCAGCAAAAACAATCAAATTACAACGTCGAGGTCGTCTCATTCGTTTCTTTGGTGTCTCATCGCTTCTCGTTGGCGGCCTTTCCTACTTGGGGTACTTGTTCACCCCCGATTGGCGACAACTTACAGATTCGAAGCATTATTATTCTGATTGGAAGGTAATTTTATTTAAAATGTAGGGTAAATTTTTAGATTAATGAAGCCATTTTAAAAGACGTTTACTATTATTAGACTTTAAACAAATCAAGACAAATCAGTACTTATGTTTTTAGATTCGCTCCTACTTCTCGTTGCCTTGGAATGGTAAGTTTTATGTATGGGTTATGACAAGTTTGGGTTTTATGCACAACAACATGTTAAATTTACGTTGTAAATTTTTTTTTGTAAATGTAAAGTTTTTAAGAATACTTTTTTGTGATATAGTTACTGTTGTTGTGCATATAACTCAAACTTGTTGTTGTAGATGTGTTTCTTGTTACTTACTAATCAATAAATTTCAGCAATCTCGCGGACTGCCGGAAGTTTAGCAAACAAGGAAATCCCCGAGGGACTTCGTGCTACGCTGTTTGGTGCTTTTGCCCGAGCCTACGATTGTCGAATGGAAGAAGCGTTGAACCCCGACTTCAAGGGCTACACCACTTTTGCGGAATTCTTCAATCGAAGTCTTCGGCCTGAAACTCGACCGATCTCAGCAAGCCCACTCGTCTCTCCGGCCGATGGAATTGTTTTGCACTTTGGACGTGTTGAAGATGGCCGAGTCGAGTATGTGAAAGGACATGACTACGACATTCAGCAGTTTGTTGGCGATGTCAAACTCAACAATGCTGAAGAACTGGATCTCTATCAAGTGGTGATCTACTTGGCTCCCGGAAACTATCATTCTTTCCACTCACCGGCTAGATGGGTTGCAGAAGAGGCTCGACATTATCCTGGGCTGTTGCTGTCCGTTCGTCCATCGCTTCTCAATCGAGTTCCACATTTGTTCTGCTTGAACGAGAGGGTTGTGCTGAATGGTGAATGGAAACATGGATTTTTTTCAATGTCAGCCGTGGCGGCTACAAACGTCGGAGATATTGCAATCGACGCAAAACCAGAGCTGCAAACAAATGTCAGAGTGAGGAGGAGATACGCAAAATACGAGCCAGTGGCCGAACAAATTCATCACCCATTTCTACCTGGAGAGAAAGTTGGCGAGTTTCGTCTCGGATCGACAATCGTTTTGGTCTTTCAAGCCCCGCCAACTCTTCGTTTTGCCATCCAAGCTGGGGATTCTCTTCGATATGGACAAAGCTTGATTACTGGAGGATGTTAGCAGAATTCAGTCGTGTGATTTTGTTTTTTCATTACAAAGTTTTTCAATTTTCATTTTATTTTTTAAATACGTGTAGGTGTTTTACACATGCTAGGATAGTTGTGTTATCGTTTTTTTCTTCAGTTGTTGTGAGCACGGTTTTACATGACAAGTTCTTTCTGTTTTTCTGTTTTAAAGCTTTGCCTTATGTACTAGTCGAATTGTACAGATTGTTGATTCTCAGTGATTAAATTTCTGTGTGCCTTTTGATAAATTTTTTATGATTATCAAATGTTTTTAAAATGACAGTTTATCTGAACAACTTACATAAGTAAATTCGCTCGCCATGCTAACCGTTTGTGCAGCCGGATCCTAAATTGTGCTTTTTTTTAAACAGTTAACGAGTTGCTACCATTTCGATGAGTTCAACGAACTGTAAACCGATTTTGACATCAAATCTTGGGGTATCTAAATGTATCGTTGAGTTGAGAAGTTTTATTGCAAAGTAGTTTTTGCTATTCACCTAAATCCTGGGCGTATTGCTGATAAATAGGCGATAGATCACTTCGATACATCCGGTTAGTGAAAATTTCCTCGTAAATTTTCTGATTATTCTCCAGAAAGGCAGCATATTTTTCTAAACTTGTTTTGAAAGTTGGCATTTTGAGGTAAGTCCACTGTCTAACTACCTGATATCCCTGATTGTTTTCTGTTGTAGACTGACGAGTTTTTAGCGTCAACACTGAAGAAAATAATCGCGAAAACTGTTGTCGTTATCAACATTGTTTGGAGAATGCTGCAAATTTCAAAAAGTACAATTGAATTTCGTTGAATTGAGAATTTTGCAAACTTCAAAATAAACAAAACCGACCCGCTAGCTTGAACTCGCTCAATGTACCTACTTCGTGTGATTAGAGAAAACGAAATGGGAATACTTGTGGAAAGCGTCTAGGGGTCTCAAATTTCCAAAAATTTCCAAAGTTCAATGAAAAACGACGTGTCGTGCCTTTCTTGACTTTACCTCGAAAGTTTCGCTGTCATTCCATTTGTGAGTTTTCCCCCCCACTTGACCCGTCTGTTCCTTGGGTGAACCCAATCTCGTCGAAATTTTTTGACAATGACTAGAGTCAATTTTTTCTGGTGTAATTTCTGTAATTAAAAATCTGAAAAAACTTTATTTCTCTCAACAAAATTGGCGATATTTGCCGTTTGAAAGAAAGCGAAAAAGAAGAAATGCATCGAACTGCATCGAAAGAAACCATTTTTTAACAATTCGACGAAAATCTCTGAAACATCTATGATAATTTGAATACAGTAGTGAAAACAACTTAAACAACTTGAAAAATGGCAAGTGTTATATAAAGATTTGAAGCCCTAACTCTTGGCTACATTTATCTACTAAAAGCTCCCGAATCGAATGCATACAACTCATTTAACAAGCTCTCGAATGAGCTCATCGCTCCGAAACGTTACCATTTTTCACGATTTGCTTTTTAACTTTTAAACTTTCTTACCAAAATATTGGCCTCATCGTATTTTGTGAAAAGCGCTCCCTTTTGTTCAACATAGTAATACTCATAAGCCGAAACATAGAAATCCATCGAGCACATTTGACTGTCGAATGGGAAACGACCGACCTGCAATTTCTCGTACAGTCTACAGGGTGTTCAATAATTAGCTTGACTGGATTTTTCATTCCCCTGCAAACCAGGCGGCAGAACACGGGATTTGGATAGATCGATTTGCTCAGAGTTGGTTCTGATTTTTTAAATTGGATTATCCAATCAAGTTTTATTTGGTATTTTTATTTTCATTATCCATTTTGATTTTTTAGATCATTACACCTATTTTCTTGGAAACATTCAACTCATATTTGAAGAGATTTTTACAAAACGAAACTATTACAAAGAGCTTTCACTAGTCTATTTTAAACAGACCCAAAATGTGACAGGTTGTTATATTTTTCTTTCATTTTAGATTTCAAATATAATTATTTCATTTATTTATTCTTTGTTGAATAAACTCATAATTTTAACTATCGAGACAAATGAATCAGAATTTCAGAAATATGCTGATATGAGATGAAATGCACACTTTTAACTCTAAAAATTTAAAAATTCCCTGGGTTCTTATCCGATACTGAGTATAGACAATTTATCGTGAGTTCAATGAAAGTTTATTAAATGGATTTGAATCTTATTGAATTGAATTTTGAACTTTTCGAGAAAAAGTACTGTAATACAATCGAGAGAAAAATTTATTAAATATAAAAAAATAAGCATAAAATTGGGCACAAGCACGGCTATTCCAAATCATGCCATTCGTCTATCTGTAAATAAAGAGATTAGACTTTATTTTGAGCTAAAGAGGTGATCAAAAAAACATTAAGAAAAAAAAAACGAACTTGTGGGCACGTTTGACTCATTGAGGATTTTCACATCCTAAAACAACCCCTTTTCCAAAATCAACGAACATGAACAAACCAAGCGTTTAAAGTTTTCCCGAAGTCGAAAATTGGCATGATGACTCGATGTGACCCGATGTTGGCACTGCGATAAGTTAATATATAAATAATCAAATATATTATCATTTCCTTTGCTTTGGAAAATTGCTTCCGATAATCGAACCATTTTTTGTCACAACGAACCCGAGAGACTCCTTAGCATGTGCAGGACTTGTTCCTAGATAATGGCCTTCTTTGGTCGTCTTCCTATAAAAAAGCAGACCGTTAATCGTCCATGATTCACTCTCAACCTCTAGCAGGCCATCTCAATAATTAAAAAAAAAACAAAAACTAGGAATCAATATACACCGAAAAAGGGGACATGATGTCGAGATAGCCAATCAATAAGCGAGTAGTGTTCTTATATGTAACCGATTATCCTGATCCCGAATGTATAGTCATTCGAAATCAGGAGAGTCAATTACATATAGGTACATGACTTTCCTATTAATTGACTACCTTGGCTTCGTGTCTTCTCCTTTTAACACTCAGCTTACTTACGTAGAGTAAATGTTTCCATATTATTCGATGCACAGTTCGTTGTCCAAGAGTCCAATGAAAGTATAGGGCATTCCTTCGTGAAGATCAGAAATATTGAAGCGTTTTGTCGATTCGTTCAAAAAGTTGTCGCGAAGAGCATCAAAGTAGACGTAATCCATCTCCTCGTGTTTTGATACAGCCTTCACCTAAATGCATAAAAAAATATTCAAGAACTTTTAAGAAAGTTTATTAACATTCAATAAAACATTACCTCATCTGCGACTTCAGTTTGATCGAGCATCGATTTAAGCTCGACCCTGTCATCTTCCCCCAGTTTCTTGTTGTCAACGTGAGCATACGATAAGGCAACCAGTTGATGCAACATTATTCAACAACATTGAAACGTTGATGCAACATATTTTCATCATATTTTTTTATTACACCTTTTCATTAGTTACTAATTTTAAACTTTATTTTTTGAATGAAATTTCAGCGGATATGGAAAATGAATCGATTAGATAAAATAAGTGACAATGAAACAATAAAACCATTAAACTGTACAAAACCCAATAGAAACCCTGAAAACCCTATCATCTCCGATTGCGGTCAATTGTAGAAAGCGAAAAATAACCAGTCTAGAAGCATGTAAATACAATTCCTACTTGAATCAATATTTCGTCTAAAAAATCGAACCTCTCTCGGATAAGGGGGCTTGATGAAATTCTTTTTAGTGAGTTCCATCGCCTTTTTGACGATTTCTTCATAATTTCCCATTTCTAATTGCTCCATTCCAGGAAATTGTGAAAGAAAATCGCGGCTTCGGACATAAGTCGAGTTTCTACAACCCCTGTTAATCATCAAAAAACTCGTCTCCAAATTCTTGCTTGGGATCCCCTTTTCAGCGATTGATTGCACGATTAATGGTATAATCTCTTCACAATTTTCAAAAGAAACCCACACTATGAGGTTTTTTATATAAGTTTTGGCAAAAACCTCGCAATAGAAATGAAACGTGGCAAGGGAATGACAATAAAACCCGACCTCTTTGCACTCATTCATCTTATTTACAATGAAATTCTTCAAAAGCTCGATGATCACTTGATTTTCTTTACACAAATCAATCTTCACCGTAATCCACGCGCGTTTTCCAATCACTATGCGAAAATTTTCAAGAAATTTCCGCAACTCCTCTTTTGAGTCTCCAGAGAGCGTCAAATGTTTCACATATTTCAATTGACTCAGGAACGTCAACTTTTCATGGCTCAATTGTTGAGGGACCAAAGCGATCCCCAATTTGTCACACGAATGGATTCGTTTCCACAATGGAAGCTGGGACTCGGTATTCAGTGTGACGTTGTTTCGTCGGTCGCTAAATTTCATTATTAGAGTCCCTTCCCAAAGACTGTCTATGATATCGTACACGTGATGTCCACAAACTATCCACGGTTTCCGCAGTAGGATCGATCGAAATCCTGTATTCACCAAGACCAATTCAATCACATCACTCGGCTTCATTTGCTCGAACACCTCCAGCTTTAAGTCGTAACATAGTTTCTCCATAGGGAATGACGTCAGCTTTCGCATTTCAAACAGCATCGGGCTTGGCGACGTTCCACCTGTAAATCAAAAATCATTAGATTTCGCAAAAACCATGAGACAATTAAGATTGAAAACTTCTAGAAAAAACTTGAAATAATCGCTAAAGATCACTCCACTTATCAACCATGGTAAGAAGGATCATCAAAAATATAAAATCCAAGCTACCAAAACGCCTAAAAAACATGAAAATTTTATCTTGAAAATGAGAAAAGAAAATGGGATAGGTTACTTTGCGCGAATTTTTTTTTTGCGCAACTAGGTCTTTTGCACAACTCGCCATAACTTCCTGTTAAGTGGACCAATCTTTATGATTTTGGTTTCATTTTGTAGATCTCAATATGTGCAACAAAATGAAACCAAAAGCATAAAGATTGGTCCACTTAACAGGAAGTTATGGCGAGTTGTGCAAAAGACCTAGTTGTGCAAATGACCCTGT